GTTAAAATACCTAAAGACTCACTCTGAAGAATCTAGATCCCAAAGGAAGTAAACCACAAATTAACTCAATCCAGGGGAACACTACTGAAACTGTTTTGTAAGCATAAAACCACAAGTCTGAAAGTTGATCAGAATAAAATGCATTTTTAAATTCACTCTCATAGTCCTCCAGTTATTTTTTAGTTGGAGACTATTTAAGCATGGAATGAAGGTCTGGTTACATGGCACAAGGGCCTGCATCCTGGGTGAGTGTGTTTTTACCTCTAAAGTTTCATTTCGGGTCAATGAGTAGAAACTTTACACCCTCAGTTAACACTTAACTGCTGTGCAGTGGTTTAGGCTAAATGGTAGTACTACATCTGGAAGTACCATATTAGTGGTTTAAAAAAGCAGCACAATTAACATTGGAGTGCCTCAATTGTGAAAAACCTTTCATTTTACAAATGCTATATTTGTACTAAGAGATATAAATATGCTACACTGAAAGGAATCTATGTTGCTATCTGATTCATTTCCTTGAATTAAAAAAAATTCCCAAGGCCTTTCATCTACAAATACTGTAGCTTCCCATTTGAGGCCAACCAGAATCTAGCATCAAGAAAAACTACTACCCTACAGCCAGGTACTTTTCCATTTTCCACCTTTTTGTCATTATCCTCCTTTAGTACTTTCTTCCCTCGACCCCTAGATCAAACACCCTTTCTAGTGTAGTCTTGTAGCTTCCAGGTATGGGACGGTAGTACTCACTGCCATTCTTACAGAATTTTGTGCTTAGCCCTTCTTTGGCAGTGATGTGTTAACTTTTCAAATATGCACACTATTAACTCCAAGCTTAGTCTGCTGGGCCCTAGGTTTAACGACATGCATACACATGTAATTGATACTTAAAGTAGTAGACTAAGACAGCCATACTTAAATTGTATCATATGTAATCTTTTGAATAGTGATAAGTCATCTCACAACTTAAAAGGATACTCAAAGAAAGCGATTAAGACAGAAAGGTAACAATTAAGTCAGAAGATACTGAGAATGTCCCATTCCCTTTTAGGAAAGTTAAGGATTTAAAAATGAACATTGGGACACAAAGCCAGCAAACACTGAATAGTAAGTCCAAGGAAGATTTTAGTTGCTGCAAGAACTCTATAGTGATGAAGGCAGAATATTTGGAATACTATACTTTTCTATTTTAAATGCCATGAACACCAACAAGCAAAGGGAACCAGTGAAATTTCAGGCAACAGAAAATGTATTTCCACTGCTGGTTAATTATTTCAAGTGTGGAACCATTTTTAAGTATCAGCATAGATGGCAGACTTACCAGTCAAGAAGATCTACTACAAAGACTTTCAAGGGAGACAGTAGTATCTTGTGTGGACCCATTCTGCTTCCAATAGCTTCTCACTGCTCCTAAGCAATCAGCTCTCTCACCTCTGAAATACGGCTATTCTCACCTACCTCAAATGTTTGTACTGACTGATTAAAAGCTGCAAGACAGTAAGGATCTTGTGGCCTTTTCGGTACAGAACAGGTATATAATATTTATTCTCTGAACACACAGGTAATAAATTTCTACACTTAATCATGTGCTCTTCTGAGGGTTGGGAATTCCAAGAAGAAAAAAGAAAGTAAAGCCCTTGCTTTGAACAGAACTCATTGTGGTAGTAAACTGACTTCACAGATAGGAGACAGTAAGTGGAAATAAGTACTACGAAAGGAATTAGGGTCAGGGATATAGCTCAGCAGCAGCACAGTGCTTGCCTGGCAAGGGCAAGGTCCTGATTCCTGGTACCGAAGGAAAAAAAAAAAGGAAACATATTAAAAGGACCATAAGTAGATAACGGAAGAGATCTGTGTGTGCAGTCATGCATTATTTACACAGGGGGTTGAGGGAAGCCTGAGAGAGTGTGGGTGCAGACCTGCACACACGAGGAGACAAGCTTTCAAAGGAGAGGAAACACCAGGTGAGGCTGTGGCGCAGGTCAGCATGTTGTGGGGCAGGAGTCCACGGAGCTGGGGGAAGTCAGCACTGGGCAGGGACCCAGATCCCTGTGGAGTCTCACAGGCTTTGATAAACTCTCTGGATTATTAATTTTTTCATGAAAGGAGGAACCATTGAAAAACTAAGTAGGGAAGCAATCTACATATGTTTAAAAATTTAACACATAACAGTTATTACTATAGTTAAGTGCTGTAACCATGAAATTAATATGGTACATGAGAAATGAACAGCGCCTGTCATTGTTTTTTGATCTATTTCAACTAGATCATAAAGAGCAGTTCTATCTTATGAAAATAGTTTCTTTTGAGTCCAAAATGGTAGAACACCATTATAAGGTTTGATGGACTTATTGGATAGGGTTAGTCAAAAGGAAACGAACATGAATTCCAGAATAAAATATAATTGAATTTTTGTTTTTGTTGTGTGTGTGTATCAGGAATCAAATTCAGGACGTTATGCTTGCCAGGCAGGTGCTTGTGCCCCTGAGCTATATCCCCAGCCCAATATAATTGAATTTTAATCAGTCAGGACTCATTAACTATAGTCTTGGGCAAGTTACTTACCCTTTTCCTCCTTGGGTTTCTCATGGCAAAGAAGCCACAAGTTGTACTAATGAAGAACTAAAATGTGTATGTATGCAGCACAAGGCCTGGAAGCTGAAAAAAAATGAGTGAACCAACTAAGAATAGCTGTTTCTCTTACACAAGCAAATCAAATGAGTCAATTTAGCACCAGAATCTTCCAAAAACATCTACCTTTTCTTGATATACTGAAAAGGCGTAGTTTACAGCACTTAAGGAGATAGCAGCTTTTTGATCAAATTACTACTCTCTGTATTTTATATATTTGGTCCTTTAAGTATAATTAAGTACACATCTATGGCTCTAAGAGGAACTATGGCTGTTAAGAAATTTAATATATTTGAAAAGTTACACGTTTTGAATTTTGTCTAAAACACGATCTCATTTCTTCTATCAAAGTAAATTCAAAAAATTCTCGGCGATCTTTTAAGGAAACCCAGAACTACTGGCACTCAATTTGTTTCACATTCCTCTAGTATTTTCAGTACGACACAAATGCAGAAGGGCTCTTCAGAATTTGTGTAAAGCAAAGTTTAGCAATAAAAGCCACTTCAGTTAAAACATGATTAATACAGAATTTCAGCCATGTTTAATTCTCAAATGGTTGGTATTAGACAACTGTGTACATTAACTGAATACGCTTTAAGAACTTGAAATAAAACCTAGTTCCAGATTTTGGGACTAAAAACCTCTGTATGGCAAGAAGCTGTTCAAGCATACACGTCAGAAAATTGGCTCCCAAACAAATGTTAAGTATCTGAAATCCATCAGTGTATGGAAAAACCACTTGCTCACTGTATGATTTTTTCAAGTTCGTGAAATTCAACAATGACTGGCTTTTCCGACCATTACAGGCTCTTTATTCGCTCGTGTGACTCCAGCCCGTCACGACAACGCCGAGGCCACCAGGAAGCGCACGCTGCAGACGCCGCGCAGGCTGCTCCCGCCGCTCGGCGCGCGTGGGGCTCACTTGTGCGAGCTGCTCGTCCACTAACGGGCCGCCGCCGCAGCTCGCCCCTCCCGGGCGCCGTCCCGCCGCTCCCCGTGCCTGCCGCCCGTGGGTGCGTCCGCCGCGCCCAGGCTGCTTTCCAGCCCCAGGGAGGCGCCGAGTCGCGGGTCGCCAAGCCCACGACGGCAGGACCCGTACGCTGGGATCCATCGGTGCCAGGCAGGACCCGCGTCGTGGCGAGGTCTTGCAGGGACAAACACTGCGGCTTCAGGACGAGCCCCTCGGCCCTCCTGAGTCCCTCTCGGACTCGCCTGCCGGAGCACCACAGCTGCTCCGACAGCCAAGGCGCGCAGGGCGAGGCGGGGTGGGGGGTGGCGGCCTCGCCCCACGCAGGCGCGCTCCGGGACCGCCCCTCCCCCACGCACGCTCGCTACCTGGGGGCGGGGCGACCCTCGGAAGGGGCGTGTCTGTCGCCTAGCTGCGCGCACGCGCTCTCGGACCCCACGGCTACGTGTCGGACCACGTGACGCCCACCCCGAGAGTCCCCAGTGAAGCAACAGGACGTTAAAAAAAAAACCCAAAAAACAAAAAACCCTCTTTTTGAGGGGTAGCACTGAGGGTAGACAAGAGGTTATTTTCTTGAAAAAAAAAATAAAACGATAGTAACGGGCGGGGACGCGAAGCCAGGGCTGGGGCGAGCGCAATATCCGCGCGTCGTGGCGCGTTCTGACGGAATTTCTCTCGCTGAACCTACTCGGCCGACCGCGCCCGCGGCCCGGGGCGACAGGAGCGCGGAGGTGGCCGCGGACCCGTCCCGCCCCGGCAGGCCAGCCCGCAGGAGCAGGCGGGGAGCACGACGCCGGC